CACAGAACAGCACTGCTGAGCATGTTAGCTTAGCTTGGTAGCCTCAGCTAGCTCTGGAACTTCCAGCTCGGTGGCAGCAGGTCCCGCCTCGGCTCCGCCTCTTTGCCCTTATTTGGATCAGGCTGGAGCAGGCGGGAGTTGGATTCTGATGTCACTGTCGAGCCGTTAGTGGCAGACACCGCCAACTTTAGGCTTCTCGGCAACTCTGCAGAATCCTATGTCACGGTCACGGACACTACGTCCATATATACAGTTTATGGTTTGGACATAAGCTGAAAAATTTATATTTTTCATTTTGGTGTACAACAAGACTGTTTCTACCTTTCTTATGCCTTCATGCCAATACTGTTTGCTCCCACAACCTAACCTTCTTATGTGCTTGGTTTTTGTGTTGTTCATTTATGATGATGTGTTTGGATTAGTTTTCAGATTCCTTGAGATTTCCCTAAACAAGTATAGGCTATTGGAATGCACAGGTACTGTAGGGGTGAAGCCTTGGTGGATTAGTCCACAAAGCATATGGCACACAAAAGAAGCCCATGTTTGCATCCCATTTTAAGGAGCATTTTACACTGCTCTTCTTTAACCAAGATCAAGCTGTATCCTTAACCAAGTATATTTAGTTACCTACACATTACTAAACATAGGAAATGAGGTGTGCTTGAAAGTTCCAGAAAGAAAGAAAGTAAGTTGCTCCTTTTTTAGAGTACATTTTCTTAATTAAAAAACTAGGGCTGGATCGATTTATCAGCCAAGCATCATTATTAGCTGATTTTTGCCTTTATGACTGCAATAGACAAAATGAATTTTCTTATATTCATGAAGGCTATATTCGAGGTTATTTCATTGATTGGAATATCAAATATGTGTCCATTTTTAAGATCGGCTAAAGTTATTTGTTTCCCCAACAGGAGATATAAAACACCAAAACAAATAGATAACAAACCAAAAAAACTGAACAAAAAATCAACAACAGTTGTTGTTGTTTAATGTTAATTTCAATATTTCAGTGGACAATTTAACAATAAGTGTGCTTCAAAAATCTTCTATGTCTTGTGTGAAAGTCAGTGTTTGTTCTTGAGGTAAGAAGATGTATTGGTTAATTGTAGGTATCCAACAGTCTCTCAAATACAAGACACACGAGAATGCTTGTGAGTCTAAAGGGCATGACCAGTCCTTAGACGCTTAGATTTGTGAAGTTACAGACTTTTTGACAGATTTCCTATTTTGTTTGACGAAACACTCCCAGTGAAATCCACTTCTCTAACCTTTAGGCCACTGCATCCCCAAAGTGTTGGTATGGCTGGATTGTCCCCATTCTATCTGATGTACAATGTCATTCTCGAGGTCTAAGGAAGCACTTGAGACCACACTGCCTATCCCATGCAGTGCTGCCAGCAGGGTGCTTTGTATTAAGGCTGAAATCACAGCAGCTCTCTCGCTCAGCATGGTTTCTCTCTGTACAATGTGTGCATGTATATTTCATGAGCATTTGGAAAGATCACTCTTAGATCACAATATTATTTTCTTCGTCAGTGGCAAAAACAAACATATACTTGCCATCAGTGATTCATCGACATTGCCAAAAGAGCATATATGAATATGTAAGATTTAAACAAAACAAGTCATACAATAATCTCCTCCTTCCTTCTTTCTTTGTGCTGCAATGGGACAGTGATTTGATTAGAGCGCCAGAGGCTGGCAGATGGCTTCCCTCTTTTTGCCTTCACATAAATAACTGTGTCATTGCCTGCTGAATTAACAAAGACTGGCAGAGGTTTAATTTTGCATTCTTCTATCTCTCTTGCATTTGCTGCTTTCCCTGCTGTGCATTCTGAATTCACTGATTAAGTGAACCTGATTAGCTGAGGCGCTGCCAAATTCACTGCTAAATTCCGAAGAGGATATTTTCTCTCCCCCTATCCCTATTTTCAATTCCTCTATCTTGTCTTTCAAACAGATGAATGGATGATGAGATTTCACAGGCCAATTGTTAACAACAGAGAGGCAGTTTCCTGCTTCCAAGGTTTGCACTGACTGCCAAAACCAAGAGAACCGCAGTAAGACAAATTTAAAGTATAACGTGTAGAATGCCACTCACCACTTTCACCCCTCAACATCACAGGAATCATCTGTGAGGTGTCTCGACGGTTTGTGTTGAAATTGTGAAAAAGTCAAAATGTTGTTTTTAAAGATATACAGTAATATTTTTGACGCTTTTTCATGACCATCATTCTTGATGAGATATAAGTATTTGAATACCTGCTGATAAACATCCATCGGATTTAGACAATATCACAGACAGTATATAGAGTGCAAAATTCACACAATTGTATAATATGAAAACGGTATAATATATGTATGCTTTAATTTCAATGGAGCAATCAAGTCTAATCCTATTTTATAACACAGTACCTGTATATTGTGCAAACCATGTTGATATTTCAAAAGCATTGCACACTGAATACCTGTACATCATTTCATGATGACATCTAAAGTGTATAAGGTATTGTGTTATGTAATGTATCAAATTCTATGGAGGCCCATTTGGCTGCATTTAATTATAACTCAGCCCCTGTATACAGCACAAACTGCAGTCAAATGGTAAATGGGTAACTCTAATGTGGATATCTACAGTTCATGAGTTATGATGAGTTCCGTGATGCTTTGAAGTCTACAAAGTCCAATTGTATTTATAACTTTGCACCTGTCTATACAACAAACTGTTGTGCTTTACATTTATCCAGTGTACATCATTTCATAACGATTACCTGAACCTGAGCCATTATAAGTTATATATTACATTAGAGTCTATGGAGGCTCATTTGATAGTATTGTAATGGCACTATACACTAGAAACTAAATTAAATGTTTTAAATGCTCACTCTTGTACACAGCAGTTAACAAATTGGATTACTGTAATACATCAAAAGCTAATGACCCATGTCATCCATACCCTAGACCAGGGGTGTGAAACTAAATGTCATCGCAGGCCACATTAGTATTATGGTTGCACTCAAAGGACCGGTAACTTTAAGACTATATAAATATACATATATAAATATATAATATATATAAAATAATGTATTATATTTAGGGCCGGGACTTTAACGCGTTAATTAAGATTAATTAATTACCCAAAAATGAACGCGTTAAAAAAATTAACGCATTTTAATCGCACTTATTTTTGCACCGCGGAACGTTTCTCACTGGATGAGTTTCAGGGGTACCGATTATACTGGAGCACCAACTAACGTTCATGAATTCAGACAACAACAAACCACAGTGAACAATAGTCAAACGTGAACGAAGAAGCTGATGAGACCGCTTTGGTTGGCCCCGTGGGTGGGACATTTTGTTTTAAAAAACAGACGGATGGAAGCATCGATAAGAGCACGGTTGTTTGCAAATTATGTAAAAAGGAATTTGCATATCACCGCAGCACATCAAGCCTCAAGTATCACCTCAATGCAAAACATATAGCAGCTAGCGTGGAAGCTAGCGTGGACGTTAGCCCGACTCGGAGTACAAGGACCCACACCCAATTGGCGTTGATCAAACAGTGGCCTATGCAACAGAGAGATTTTATTTTTCATCAGGATATTGGAAGAATAGGAGGGATTGAGGTCAATCACTGGCACTTTTTTATTTTATTTTAAATGGTACAGTACACTTTATGTTGAACTATTTATTACGTTGTTGGTGCAACTGGCACTTTATGTTGAACTGTTTATTGTTTTGGCCAAGGTTATTGAGAGAGTTGGACTGAAATGTATTAGATTTTTTAAATCAACTGTTGGTAAATCAACAAAGTCTGTTATGGCCTCTGAAGCAACAGAGAGATGTTTTCTAATAGTCAGGGTTTCCAATGTTCTGAATGTACTTGAAAGTATTGTGTTTTACTTAAAAAACAAAGTGTTATAGTTTACAGAAGGTCTACCTACCTATAGGCTACCTGAATCTCTGAAATGTACTATATTCCTAAATATGCTATTGCTACACTTTATGGCAAAAATTGCACTTTTCTGTTGGTCTTGGTTAAGAACCACCTTGAAAAAAATAAACAATGTTTTGTTGCTTAAGCTTATGTATTCAGTCATTATTCAATGGTATACTAAAATCCATGTGAACAAAATTGCTTCTCACTGTTCTCAGGTCGAATATTTATATGTGATTAAAAATGCGATTAATCAATTAATTAATTACAAAGCCTCTAATTAATTAGATAGATTTTTTTAATCGAGTCCCGGCCCTAATTATATTATATAATTGCAAATCATTTGCAAGTCTCTTCATTGCGTATGTCACAAAATGAGATGCATTGTGGGACATGTAGTTTATGGGCAACGTGCTTCTTTAAAGTGGCATGTCACCATATAGTAAAGGTATTATATTCTTTGCAAGCTCTTGCGGGCCACATAAAATGGAGTCGTGGGCCGTCAGTTTCCATGTGATTATGAAGACATCAGAAAATCGTGCCAATCAGCAGCTATACACACAGCAATCACACACATTTTCTGCAGTATTTGCTCTTTGAGTTTAAATAACTCATCCATTTCTGTATTTCCTCAGTTTCTCTGTGTCGGGGTTGCTGCACAAATGAAATGCAGATTGATTTTGAGTACCATTTAGCAGTACTATCCAATGAAAAGTGATTAGGATTTACTAATGCGTAACTCCTCTTTTGTTGTAGTCAGCACTTTTTTCAGTTCGCTCACAATAAAGCTCAGTGTGTGACCAACGAGACAGATGGAATCCCTCAGTGTTTGAATTTCATCTGTGAAAATGGTTTATTTAAATATTATTCTGATATCGTCATTATAATACAAACTGTTGCAATGTTTCAGTACAGAAGCCTAACACAATACCAAAGAAAAGAGAACTATAATTCATTAGAATTTTTGACAGCTCAACAAACAGACAGGACCGCATTGAAATTAAATACATCAGAAGAAACAAATACATCTAGAGTGAATGAGTAGTGTGGCATATAAAACATAAAAGGAGAAAAGCTGTGTTTCTGAAATAACAGCCCAGATGAAGGAACTGCTGTCATTGTGAACTGTTCTCCCTATTCATTAACAGAGACCTTGTTGCTTGTATGCAATCCAGCCTCCATTACATCCCACACTCATGACACATTTGTCATCAGTTCAATCACAATATCAAATCAATAATCGCTCCAATATGTCCTTCTTTATTATTTGATATGTTGCAAGGACCCTTAGTCAATGAGCCCCCTAGATTAGGATGAAAGCTTTAAAAGAAGATTTTTTTAATATATATAGATTTTTTTTTGTCATATACATTTTTTCCAAGTTCATTTTGAAGAGATGAAAAACCACTTTGGACTTGTTAGCACTTGAGTATGAGTACATGACATCATTTTTACAAGTACAGAACATCACTGGCCTCTGCCTTTTTAAATGGATTAAAAAATGTCAACATGCTGATTATTTCATTTACAAGTTGTACAGATCTGTTGCTTTTTACATGAGGGTTGGACAAACCGTCCGCTCAAACTCTGCAAACTCTCCAAAGTGCTTTTCCAATTCCATTTCCAATAGAATCAACATTAAAATCCCATTCTACACTAAAATAAGCTTTATTTTTTTCTGCAGTCTAAACTTTATGAATCATATTACATAACATGTTCTCATTTCAAAACACAGCAATCGATTTCCAGTCACAGCAGAGTGGGATATATATGACAGTGATGGTAGATTAACTGTCCAACTATACCCTGAAGCTATTTGGAACTTGAGGGATTAGACAGGGTTGCCCTCAATCACTAGCACATCTTATACTCAGGCTGGAAGCTGCTGATGTCTCTGGTCTGCTCCCATGACAAGCACTGCCAGCCTTTGAACCATGCTGAATCAACAAGTTTCCCTCCACAGTTCTTTAGGAATGCAGTACAACTATACAGGGGGGATGTTCGCTTTGTCTGCAAAGCGGAACAAAAGCTTAAAGGGAGGTGAAAATGTTGCTTTTTGAAAACACACAGCACAGTAAACGTTGGCAATTACATTTTTATGTCATGTATGAATTTAGATTATATTATACAACACATGAGAAACTACATAATCATGCTTCATGTTACCTTAAGTTCAATTTTGGGCATCAATTAAGCAAAGAAAATAGCATGTTCTTCTGGGTCTTACCAAATGATACTCATGGTGGATAACATTCACTTACAGTATGATTATTGAGACATAAGTAAACTACTCTATTATTCATAAATATTTCATTTCAAATTGGAACACCTGCATTTCTGATGGATGGCGCACAATTTCCCTTTCTGCTCAAAAGTTAACAACAACAAAAGAATCCCATTGATTTTAGAGGTTATACTGTTGTATCTGTTGTTCCAATATAAAACCAAAAAACATCGTTGTCGATGTTTGTGTCAGATTGTCAAAGCGTTTTGCTTATAAATGCTTCGCGTGAATACAAATCTTTATGACATATCATCTGAAAATAAAGGTAAAATATATATTACTGTAAGATACAAGATAGATAGTTTCAACAAAACTAAATTATTCGTCCCAAAATTGGGTCATATACAATGTTGATGATGAGCGAGTTTAGAGTTTACTTGTGTTGCACTGCATCTCATGTCCTCCAGCTGCTCAGACATCTACCTGCAAATGTGTGTGTTTGTGTGCTGGTATTAAAATAATAGAAACTTGCGATACCTATGATCAAAATTGGCTAAATACTTATTTATCCTTTATAATAATGAGACATACCAGGGAGGCGCTAAAGCAACTGAAGCATGCCTTTATAAAATGGTACAGTTCAATTAAAATTAATCATCGTTTTCGCGATTTTCAATGACGCATACATTGTGACACCCATTTTATTCCTACTAAGGATGCAATACAAATTAAAATAACAAGGGACATTTTTTTATTTTACACCAAAGCTAGCACAAACAATAAAAGCTAAATTTGACATACGGAACTCCAAGTGATGACTAGTGTTGCTCAATTTAATTTTGTTTCCCTCTAGCCTTCAGTCCAAAAAGCATGCACAGCGGTATATGTATCACTAACAAGATGTAACATGATGCTTAGAACATTTAGATCGCCAATACAGCTGTAAAATAATTAAACTTTTTAACCGTATGGTTAATATTAACAACAGTCTAAATTAGCATGTACTTTAATTTCTTTTGATTATTTGAGAGGGCCATAGTGCCTATTCACAATGAAGTTCCATGGCCAATATGGTGAGTTTCAGCTATGTATACAGCACATACAGTATTTGATAGGATTTTAAAATAAAACAGATATATATATATATATATCTAGAATCATATCTATTACGCAAATATAGATTCTCATTTTTTCTTGTTCACTTTTGAGCAATGAACACATTTGACTGGAATAGCGAAACCATAAGAAAGTCAGTCTTCCATGAGAGTTATCCAACAAGATACAGAGTCCGTTTTCACACCGGAGCGTTGGTGCCATGGCGACATCTGTACAAAAGGTAATCCAACTGGCTTAAAGGTGACTGGTGTTTACAGTGGCTAATAACAATGTGCTGGGTGCAAGAGCAGTAGTGGCGGGGTAATGAGGGCCATCTTTGCTGTCCGCGTGTTGTGTGTGTATGTGTGTTTGCGTTTGTGTGTGTTTGTATCTGTATATGTGAGTATGGGGGAAGGAAGGTACGAGATCAGGGTGCAAACCATTTCAGTTCTTCAAATTATAACAAGGCATCCCTCACCAGACCACATGCCAGGAGGAGGACAGCCAGCCCACAGTTGGATAATATTCTTGTACCTAGGAACAGAAAAGAAAAAAACATTAAAACAAATGTAGCTCTAAACGACATGGACATAAATGTTGTAGCTCTTGCTTTTAACCTTCACACCCTGATGGAATTCCCAACTCACATTATAAAAGCATATTTTGTCATGCAGTGGAACAGATTGTGTATATGTCTTTTGTGTGTTCTCTAACATGTGGTTGCCTGTTTGTGTTTCACCCTCCTCTGCATTCAAAATGTAACACTATATGGTTTCATTAAGTTTGCTCCATAAGGTTGCAGTCAGCTATGCAGCCCGTGAACACTGCTCAGCTGCAGAGCATGGATTCAAACAAATAACATTGCAACATACCTAAAGATAAAAAAGAATTGTGAAAATTGTGGCCAAATGCCCAACATTATTTGATTGTTAATTAATTCCCTTTGTTTTCCAACACCATAAGACAGAACATTGGACATTTGAGTTCTTAAAAGTGTTACACACATGAACTTGATTCTCAGTGAGATTATGGTCATGGCTTTATTTACATGAATCTCCTTAAACACATACATAATGCCGCCTGACTTAAAGAAAACGTGGCATATGAATTATATAAAACTGTCAAGGTCCAATATTGTCTTTTGATGAGTGGACCTAAACTTGATGTTGTTACATAAATTCAACTTGTTTTACCAAAAAACCACAGAAAACGACAAATGCAACCCCCCTCAAAGTAAACAGCCTTTGAAGTGTTATGAAAATGATTTACATGGGCAGCTGCTGTTGCCTTGGCCTTAACAAACTGCTATCACCACTGCAGGCAGCTCTGACTGTTTACTAAGCATCTGACATGACTAACAACTGCAAACTAGAACACAGCATCCTCAGCCTACTCTTTGATTTGCCTCTGTCTCAGGGACATCAAACCGGAATGATGAGAGAAAAAGAAGTCCTATGCAGCAGAATTCTGTTGATAAAAAGTAGTCTACTCTGCATCAACAGATACAGAGAAAGAAAGGATTTACGCAGCTTGAAAAGATGGAAATGTGAGAAACAACAAAAGTGCCAAGTTGTAATCCTGTGAAACAAGCCAAACTTGGGAAAGAGAAAATGAAATATTCACTAAATCATATTGACATTGACTATATTCCTGTAGCAGACTGTGGTGATGGTTGAAAGAGAAAATTGTCCTTAGGGATGTTTTGAACCTTGCGGCCCAGCCCTGGATTGTCTGGGCTGCTGGGGATTGGGGAATGGAAAAGGAATTGTAGTGGGGAGGGGAGAGAGATGGAAGGCTTTGACCCTTTATTCCTCCCCACCACATCTCATTTGGCTTGAGGTGAGAGAACAGGAGTGCCACAGAGGAGCAGCAATCACTCTGGGCCAAAACATCTTTCACACAGAGAATAATTAATCAGCCTTCAGCTATGAGTCAGAGCAAGACACAGTGAGTATATAAAGCTATACATGGAAAGACACGCACTGATTTACTAAAACACATATTTTGCAATAATTTACTTCACTAAGATGTTGGAGATGTCAGTTCTTATTTGTGTTAATGCACTTTAATTAATATATTTAACCAATGTAATTGTGAGCCAGGAGAGTGACGCATTGTGAGGGAACGGGTGGACATGTACATGTATTTGTGTAATTTACAGCCATATACAGGACCTAGAAGAATCAAATGATGTCAACAAAGTGAAGAGGCACACATGGTTTTCAAACCCCAGGTATCAATATTGGATTATAAAGTAAAAATAACACCTGTGCCACATCATGCAAGCTTTATCCCGCTCTGCATGACTTATCTACAAAAGAAGATGAAAGGCTTTTGGGGATAAACCTTGCTAAATGTTTGAGTATTGAACATACAGGTGTCTACACAGCCATGCTTTCTCTTAACAATGTACACTACATCATAGTGGAAAGTACTCCTGGTTTGGCTAATCACAGGTTATGTTAGCACTGTAGAGACAACAATCACCTGGATTTCTAACTGAAAAATTGTCTGAAGTTATAAAACATTTGATACATTTATAGAATCTGTGAACAATATAAACACATGTATTTTCTGTATTTGGTTTCATCATTTTTAAGCAGCTAACCTTTTTGATTAAGTGGCACTGGGCTAATTATTATTAAGGCTCAACACCTCAATCCGGCACATGTTGACACTTTTGCCTCGCTGAGTTCATCAAGAGTTTATTGTACTCATAGCCATGTGTAACGGCTGAACCATATCTATCATTACATAATTGACTTCTTTTGACCAGTGTTTTCAGCCACAGTGAAGTCACTTCAATTCATGTATTTTAAATTGATGTATTTTTATTTTGTTTACAGTACATAGAGATACTTGTGTTGTTACACAAGTCAGGTCAAATACACTGCCAATCACTGCATGTTTATTATTTGTTTTATTTCTATTAACACTACCCACACTGACCACACTGAACTACAGTATGTTTATCCAGTTACTGTGTGAGTCACTTTGTTTGGAGATTGCATCAGGGAACTTTTAAATGAACTTGAGGCAAAAATATCCTCCACTGAGAAAGAGCCTGCATTTCATCATATTAATATTTGCTAAACTAAAGCAGGCAAATATGTCCTCTTGTGTATTTGTTCCTATGCAAACTGTTAATACATTATCTGCAGTTGGCAATACTGTGAAATGTAATGTACTGTGGAGAACTCCCAAAAAGCATGCTGTAAGACTGGCTCTTACTAACGTCAACTTGAAGCAATATGTGATGCGTTATCGGGGTGGCTGACACGGAATAGTAGTATCTTATCATATACTTGGATCTAACCTGGATATAAAGGAATCATTTCCTGGAACAACAACAACAACAACAACAACAACACATATAACCATCTATTTCTCTAAAGAAACATCTAGTAAAAGCAGGGCCAGTGCTGGGCCATACTGATATCCTCCTGGGAATAACCTGATGGGTCACTGCATGTTGCACTGCTGTGCTGGGTCATTTCTTTGTGTCAGATTTGACATCCTACAGATGTTTCTTCAAAAAGCATTGAGGCAACTCTAAGTAGTGCTTCACTCCCTCTAGAATCTAGAGATCAACATCAAAAACAGCAGGAATATTGTTATTCATACATTATTGATTAGCTGTTGAATTTGTTTCTTTGGTATTTGCCAACTATTTTTTTCAGTTTGTAAAAACAGAGTAAAAATAAATACATGTAGAATGACAACAATGTTCTGTATCTTTGCTGGAAAAAATCACAGGAGTTATTAGTAGTGTCTTTTAATTACAATTCTATGCAAATGTTTTATGTATTTTCTATGTCACATGTCTGTGTGGCTGAGTTATGCTTCGAGATGAGTCACACAATTGTTTCAGTAATCAGGCACTAAGAGTTTCCAAGTACCTTAATTGTCTTGGTGAGCTGTGTTTCATGCTCCCGCTTCAACTTTGATTGGTGCGAAGCACAACTAAGTAACTAATGGCTCTTCTAGAACACCTGCATGCAGCTCTCCCTTTCATCTTACACAGTATGTATCCCTCAATTTCTATACTTAAACTAGCACTCGTCATAGACGTAAGGTAAAAGTACCTCCTGTTCCTGTGCTATTTTTAAGAAAACAATAAAGGAAAATCATTTATGAATTATTGCTGTTTTTTTAACCCACCATGCATTTTATTTGCAGAGCAAAGAAAGAATACAAAAAGCTGAAAATACAAACAAAGTACCTTAGTGGTATTAGTAGTGGTATTATTTTACCTATTCATCACTGTGGCTAAAAGGTACTCCACCCACGTCTTGTCAAAATGTGGTTGACAAAGTCACTGTGTCCTATTCTTTACAAGCCATTACAGATACATTTACATCTGAATTCTTGCTAAGGGAAAAAGTGTCCATGGCATATCTTTGGGGGAGTCTGACTTCCAAATATTCGAGGGTTTAAAACGGCACATGTCTCTTTGAGTTTGCATTTTTTGCATGTCATTTCCCAGCTTTCCTCCACAGTGTGAGGGACTGCAAGCTGACTTTTCCAAAGGCATAATTGGAGTGTCTGAGCTGGTAGAAACATATTCGGGCTTTCTCTGTACATGCTGGGATAGAATAAACCCACACTGAATACTCTTCATTTTGTCCTACTTAACCTTACACAACACTCTGCGTTTTGCCAAAATGTTTTTGGCTTGGTGAAATGGTGATGTTGAATATCAATTCTAGGCCAGCGAAGCAGTCAGGTTCAGTGAGGCAGGGAGGTGAATCACCACAGCACCTCCATAGGGAGCTCAAACTGGCTTAGTGCCAGATCTATTCTGGCTGATCCCTGGCTAGCTGACTGTCTCTTTGACTTACTTGCGTACTTGAATGGCGGCTCTGTTATAAAAGCAGCTGTATGATTTGCCTGTTGAATGATACACTATCTTTCTGACTGTCTGGCTGCCTAAGCCATGCCCTGAATTTTTGGATGACTGACTGGTTAAATACAACTGGATGTCATTACCGTGCAGCTTGGCTGTTCATCTGTGGATCAGGCTAAACATGATAACACAGTCTGTTGGGTAATGCAAATGCTCCAAAATTACCATCCACTATGTTTGAAAAGATCACTCCAGCAGTTGTGTGTTTTATCTGACATTACTGCAACCATTTTACAAGCCATAACTGACTGAGGAACAAGCAGCTGATTAGGGCTTAATGTGGCTATATTCCTGTCTGTTTCAGTATCACTATTTCCTCCCAAAAAAAAGAAGCTGCTTCTACCAATTGAGTTGGTTTTTTCCTACAGTATGTTTTGTTTTTCTGTTGCTTGCTTCTTCTCCATATTGATTCTCACCATATACATATATAAAGGTAAATATGCATTTACCTTACAAACAAATGAGTAGAAAATAAATTACCAATCTTAATTTATTTTTGCTTTGAAAACGCCACTCTAAAAAGAAAGATGGTCGTACACACATGTGTTTGTTTAACAATCTCTGTCCATACTAACATGCCCAAATGCCCATATGACATCACAAACACAGGGCATGCACTTCCTGATGT